CAGACTGTTCGTTCATAGGGTCGCTATGAGTCATCTACGACTCGACGGCATTAAACAACAACAACAACAAAGGCAGTGCTTCAAATTATTTTGTAGGGAAGTGTAAAACTTGACAGTTTATGGTCTTTACTACTTTCCCCCTCCCCCCCAAATTCAGCTGTGCTCTGTTACAACCTTTTTGGTTACTTCTTTCTCAGTTATTCTCTATTAGTCATGTAATAATGTATTAGGATTTAAAAGTCTACTTTATGTAAGTTTTTATTTTGTCCCTAACTTTTTATCTTTCTTTTGTTTTATTACCTTCTATACTACTAGTTTGGTGGGAAATTTTGATGATTATGTGATAATAAAATATTAAAGGTCATATAAATTACATTTTAAATTTAAAAATGAATTAATAATTACTTTCTAAATAATCAGGTGTTTGCCTTCTTATTGGAACTTCCTAGAGATGGTTTTGTATACTTTATGAAATAAATGTCATTTTCTGTCTTCTACTTTTTAACCATCTTTAATGAAAACAAATAAGAGCTAGTTCTTATAAATTTCATATCTGCCCTTCTCTGAATATCCCCTTCTTAGAAAACAGTGCAAGAAAATAGGAAAACTTGCCAGTTTTGCTATTTTACCATAAAGAAAGTAATAGAAGATTATGACCTAAAACAGTTTGTGTCTATCTGCTTTACTTTCTGTTTTTCACCACCTTTCTTTATTTCTTCACTGTATTTTCAGATAGCTCAAGTAAGGCCAAACAATTTAGTGTTAAGAGTCTTCAACCTTTTTCATATTACTACTGTGCTGTAGAATAGCTAACAAAGTCAGATAGCTATAGGTAATAAAATCCAGAAAACAGTTTGTAATTCACTAAAGATAATGTGTTATTTTAAAAAAACTTTATGCAAATTAAATCATGTAGGTGATTTTTATTGATTTCATATTCAGAAAGAAAACTTTTGTTTTACCTGATCTTTTCCTGATTATAAATTACAGTGTGTGCAGTGGCAGTAAGGAATTGCTTAGAGTGTCAGCAGCATCTACAACTGAAAACGAAGGGAAACACAGCAAAAGGCCAGAAGACTCTATATAGCCTGATTCCCCTGGTGAAGTCTGCATCAAAGGTAAGACTGTAGAATAACTTACTAAAACCAACCAAAAATTCTTAAGATTGAGGTCTTAACATTCCTTGTTCATTTCAGTGTAATGATGGATCTGACAGTTCTCAATATAGTTATTTTTTTAAATTTTTTTTTTTTTGCTTTCCATTCATTGTTGCACACTTTCCTTTCTGCCCTCCCCTCCCCCCGTTAACTTTTCTCTTTGATTCAGTATAGTTATTTTAAGCTGTAAATATTTAAATATTTGTTGCGTTTAAATATATAATAAAAATTTGATTATACTCAAATCTTTTCTTTTTTCTAATTATTTTCTTTCTTACAATTATATTTCCTTCAGATATGCCAATTTGTATTTCATGTATTTGTTGAGATAGTGTACTGTTGTTTATCTTTACGTTGTTTGTCTTTACATAACTTTCTTCTGTACTTCCCTGTTCCCTTCCACTCTACCTTCATGCCACCCCCCACCATCTCATAGGGCATACTTTGCCCATCTCTGCTTACAGAGAGAAGCATGTGTGTGGGAATTCCTAAGAAAAGCAGTGTTAGAGCCTTCCCTTTCCTAGTCTTTAGAATGTTGTTTTTATTATTTTTAAAAATGGATGTTTAATTTCTGTGTGTGTCTGTTTTTGTTTCTTTTTGTCTTAGGGTCCAATGGATATTGCAACTGCTGGTATATCTCCAGTAAGAGATCTTGACAGGCTTTTACAAGACATGGATATTAATCGGCTTAGAGCAGTTGTATTCAGAGATATAGTAAGTTTTAATATTTATTTCACATATACTTTTTTTTGGTGCCCTGAGGTCACTGGGCTGTGGTGGGGGCTGAGGTGCGTGGTTGTGGAGCTGCAAGGGGCGCAGGGGAAGGGGAGGAAAGCAAGGGACTAGGGGGGACTTAAGGAGCGCAGGGCTTGGACACTACCACCAAGAGGTGGGGGCCGGGCTTGGGCGCTGCTGGTTGTTTATACAGCAACATCCTGTGTGTCAGGGGTCACACAGTGGCGGGTAGTCTTCGCTCCTCTGGAGTTCCGCGGTGGGTTGCTGACTATTGCTCTTCCTGGGTCTCTTCCCGGCCCGTCTGGCGGCGGAGTTCCGTCTGGCGGCGGAGTTCCATCTGGCCTAAAATTTTTTTAATTTAAACCTCTTGTTTAGAGTCAACAAGACCTCCTGGAGGGCCCTTGTATTTAAAAATTGGACCCAAGGGATTATTTCTTATAAGTCATACAGCACTCTTCTGTCAATTTGCAGTGCTGAGGTAATCTGGGTTTGCTGTGATGCTGAACCTTGTACCATTGAGGTCTCAAATGCCATAATGGCTGCCCATGGTGGACAGTGTTTGGTGGAGCTCCCAGTTTAAGACAGATTTGGAAGCAGGAGTGGCATCCACTTCCTAAACCACATGCATCTGGAAACTCTATGAACTTGGAGAAACGATAGTTATAGAAAGCCCTCAGGTCTTTTGTTCATAGAGTTACTGTGAGTCATGTGCGACTCAATGGCAATCAACAACAACAACAACAATATTCTAATAATTATTTACAATTTTGGAATCATGGGGCTGGAAGAAAGCAGAGGAACAAGAACTGTCCAGGCTTGGAAATGCCCTCACTCCTCATTCTCTCTCTCCTATTTGAATGAAAATC